TTCAGGCAGCCCTGAGGTAGTCAATTGACTTCAAGGCTCATTATAATCTACCTGATTCCTGCTAGTCTCCCTTCACTCCACAGGTGTTAAAGACCCTCTCTTCTTTATAATGGTCTTGATGTTCCACTATTCAAATTGTCCATTCTTCTGCAATATTGCGGTCTAATAGCTATTCCTGGTAATGCCTCTCTCCTGCCTTACACACCTTCTGCAGACTGTTCTTAACTCTAGCTTAAAACCTTAACTCAAGTGTGGTAATACTAAATCAGGTGTAGAAATGACTGACACTGAAGTATTGGAGGCACTGTCAAGGTATCCAAGAAGACTAGGTTTTCTTTTATGACTCTGAATAAGAGATATATATTTAACTATAATGATTACAGGAGTAATGAAACTATGTCTGGACTATTTTTGCTTAGTTTGTGTTTTAAAAACTTAGTATATAATCTAAAAAAATAGCACACATTCTGATAAAGTTATATTCATTTCTGCTTTGATCTTCAACTGAATAATATAACTTCTAGTCTACCTGGAGAAGAATACTTGTTGTGTTATATGGGCTGATGCGACTCACCATGTGCTCTCCTCTTCTCAAAATCCTAGATCTGCCCATGAACTGCTATGTAATTAGTTTGGGCTAATATGTTTTATTGCAAGTCTGAAGGAGATTTTCACACTGTTTCAAGTTTAGAAGCAAATACTTATCCAACAAACAGTGTGCATAGGCACTATGTTTCTGTTTCTATTTCTGTTTCTGTTACTAATGCTATTTTTGTTTTTAGGAAAAGAAAGACTTCCCATTTTACAGCCAAGTTTCTCCTACCACGTGATCCTGTAGTACAGTCAGAGTCATATTTAACATCATGATCTATTTCTAGGGAAATTGTTACTATGTGACAAATCCAATATTTTGACTTTTGCAAGGAAGAGGAAGAGAATATAGGTTGAAAACAGAAGTTCTTTATTTGATAATAATCCAGGATTTAAAACAGGCAACCCTCTCCCCTACAAAAACAAAACAAAAGAAAAAATGCAAACAAAGTTGTACAATGTTTATCAAAGCTATCTCCTTGCTGCCTAGGATATGTATTTAATTTCATATTTAATTTCACTTTAAATTAGTCAGTGGGTAAGACAATAAATACTGTAGGTCAGATTATTGGGCTTTGCCATCAAAAGAATGCCTATGTTTTCATGTCAATTTATTTGTACTAATCCCACATTTGCTTATGGAAATCTATAGCTTTGTTCCATAATAGTTCTTTGTGGTTAATAGAAACAGCACAACAAGGGCTTATCTGCATATATCGTTGCTCATATTTTGCCTATTTGTACATGAAAATGCAGAATTGGAAATGCATGGCACAATATATACAACACTGTTTGAAAATATAGGCTTGGATGATCATGGATAAACTGAGTAGGGATGTATCCCCATCTCTAAATAACATCTGTGAATATGCATTTTCATGGTTCCCTAAATTCAATGGAGGTTCATAGCCAACACAAGACAATTTTGCAGAGAAATTTTAGTAGGTACAGCAGTTAAACAAGGCCTACAGACTCTGAATCTCCTAGACACTTTGCCAGCCAGGCAGAATGATGCATTTCTTAGGAGGCAAATTATGGAGCAACAATGATCATTTCTTGCCTAGAAAATCAATTCATTGAAATGAGCTTCTTCACCATTATCTGAAGGGTTTCAGGTGTTCTCTTGTACGTATGCTCATGGATTATTTACAAACATATTCCTATTCTAGGTAGACTGTGACCATGAAAATTCTTGTTCTCATTGAAGCAAGACACCTGACCATAGAGTATAAAAGAGATTATACCGTTTCTCTTCCTCAGTGAGAAGTAAAGCATTTTGAAGCTTCAACGTCTATATCTAAACATGTTGTGACATTCCTGAATAGTTATCAAACACTATGATACAACAATTTTCTCCACAGACTCTAACAACTCTGATTACGCACTCTGTATGTTACTCTTTAGTGAAATCCCTGAAGAGTTTGGCACCTCTTAATGGCCCTCTTATATGGACCCAGTTTGTTTTGATTCTGAGTATGTTAGGGTTACCAAGTCCCCTCAGTGGGAAAGCTTCAGGTGCTTCCTCCCATTAAATGAAGGGTATTCTTCACTGTGGCTGCTTACAGACGTGAAAAAACAAACAAACAAACAAACAAACAGCACTTTACTTTAACATCAGCATACCCCCATGCCGAGCAGAGCACATGCCCGGAAGAGGCATCATGTTAGTTTGACCCAGCCCACCCAACATCTGCATAGATCCGGCACTTTGGTGGGGCTTTTTGGTTCTTGAATCATCTATTAGATAAATGCACCAAAAAGCCCCACCGAAGCACCTGATCTATACAGATGCTAGGGAGTTGGGCTGAACTAACGTGCTTCTTCTTCCAGTAAAGTGCTGGGTTTGTTTTGTTTCTTTGTTTGTTTGGGTTCATATCTGTCAGCAGTGTGTATTACATTTGCAACTGGCAAAGACAGAACTGCCACTGAATGGTTACTCTATGAAGTATCAAAACATTTCTACTTTATGGAGGTAGTTTATTACACTACACTAATAAAATTCATAGATTATTTTTATGATAGTGATGGAATATTCATTCATTTGTTTTCTCCTGTGTTCCTGGGTATACAAATAATCTGGATTGACCTGGTATGATGCAAAAGTTTCCTGGAAAGAGTTTGAAATAGTATAAATATCATGCAGGGTATCTGGTACAAATATGGCAGTGACACCCAATTTACACATCTTATATATAATCATGTATAGGGGTATGCAAAGCCTAACCTAAGCTAGAAAGGATGGAATTAGTAGTTCGCCAAGGAAACAGAAATGCCAGTCAACTCCATCTTTCAAAATCTGCCAAAGATGTCACAATCAGAGGGCACATCCTTCTGGTTTAGGTAACAATCAGGAGTTAAAAGGAGATAAAGGGGGGAAGACAAAGAACACAGGGGTTGCCCAGAAAAAATAAATAAATTTAGGGCTACTGGGAGCTACTTTTCTAGTCAAAGGCCCCTGTTAAATTCCCGCTTAGCTTTCTTGGGGCAAGGGATAAGAATGTAGACTTTTTTTCTTTCAGACAGTCAGATTCTTTTGCTACTTGGGAAAAGAGGAAAAGGGGAATGTGGATGTAAACATATTAGGTTCCCTGATCATCCCTGACAACGCTATAATCCACAACTCCATACAGCATACTGTGTTGACTCTTGTGCACACTCACACATTTAAATGGGAAATTTTATGTCCATCTTCCTCTAAAGCAAAATTCCTTCAGTTACATTGGCTAAGCACAGTCAGTGAAAAATCCCAAGTCTGAATCATTTCAATTTTAGCAGGCTAGTCTAAGCTGCTCAGATTGAACCAGTAAACAAGTGAACATTCACTTTTGATTCTGGAAATACAGCCACGTGCCTGCAGTGGCCCAGACCCGAAGCCAGGAGGTGCTAGAGCATGCCTCCCTGCTCTGCAGCAGCAGACAGCTTGGGCCAAGGCTAGCCTGCAAGTGAAGTGCAAAGCATCCTGGGATGCAGGCTGGCTGAGAGTTAACTTGAATCTGGAGGGGATCTGGGACAGACGTTCAATTAACCAATTAAACCTAAATCAGTTAAGTCTGATACTACATCCATCCAGGTTTATCTTACACCAATTTCAACCATTTTGAAAGTGGTCTATGTACACTGAACTTCTCTTGCATTACAGATTTGAACCCATTGCCAATCACTTATATTGGTTTGTGTGTAATTTCTGTCCCTAGCTATTGAGTCTGGCTGTACAGATAGATGTAAAAGAAATAAAATTTGTCTAAAGGACACTTTTTTTATATATATAAATATATATAATTTCTTTAATCTGAGAGATCTCTTGACCTCCCAGGGCTAGATGAAAGTGCTGTGCATCCTACTGGCAAGGTGAGACCTTTTCAATAATACAAAGATCCAAAAGGTCACACAATATTGGACCTTAAGCCCGTCAGTGGTACAAGACAGAATATTGCCTGTCCTGGGCTTTAAGCCAGTGAAATATTGTGGGGATAAATTCTGGAGGAAAATTATGGCAAATGGCTTGGTCTTCTAAATTGCTACTAATTAAAGCCTGGGTTTGGAATGTTAGATGTAGTCCCAGTGGAAAAAGGTTACTAGGCACAGCACAGGAGAGGCAATGAAAAGTGCATGATAAATGCCACATATAAGATAACTATACCTGCCACCAGAAGTGAGGTAAGATTGATTCAGTCTAAGTCTATATATAGCCTGTTGATAAAAGGAATGGTTTGGGGATATTTTATAGCCTTTAAAACAATTGATTGGTTAAGAAAAGGTATAAAATATGTAAAGCCAATGAGCATTTCCAGCAACTGTCGAAAACAACAGGATGCACACAAGGAGCACAGTATATCACACTGGGTGTTATAAATGACATATAACACAGGTAGAGAGAATAGTTCAACACTGCTTTAAAAATGTTTAGAGTCATTGTGTTTGAAGAGGAATTCCAAAACAGAAAAGAGGAAGCAAAAAGTTATCTTTTTCCCTCCCAAGTAGTTCCTTTCCCTTTTAATGCTGCATCATCTAGGGGAATGAGGAAAAGTCAAGGGGAGGAGAGGACAGAGGGAGGGGGTTAAGAGGCAGAGAGAATGTAGGATTTGTCCAAAAATGAAAGATGAATAAAGGAAACCCTCCAGAATTAAGAAATCCAATATTAGTTGTCTTAGTATTCCTCTTCAAACCTGCTATTGCCTTTGGGCTATATGCCATGCCATCCCTTGTACCACATTACCATTTTACCCCATAAGCAATATTGTAGTTGCTATAGTTGTTAAGAGCCAGACAACACTTTTGTAAATACTCTTATAACTTAATATGCTGTCTAGGCAAATAGTGCTGACATTTTAAAATAAATTACAGGGAACATATATGCACTCTTTGAAGGAGGGTCACCTTAATATTTTTCAAATAATTCTAGTTCTTACCTTCAGTCCTATCTGGTAATTTCCCACTCTTAGCTGTTGTTCCAGAGTTAACAGTTTCAGATGAGGTGCTCAGTTTGGTGCTGGGATCTCGCTTAGGTTTTGGTGGTGGTTGTTTTCGAGAGCAGCTACTGCTTTCATCATCAGTACCTCCAACTGAATGAAGAGATTGGGATCTCACAGCAAAACCACTTGAGCAAGGATGTGGCAGTCTGTCCTGAGGAGCAGGCATTGTCATAAATCCCATTCGGAAATGTTTGCCAATATAACTTGCTTCATTTCCTCTCACCACTTCTCCACCTATGCTGTAAAGAGAAAATATATGTCCAAGTAAAGGATCTACTTCTGTTTTTATAACACCTGGAAACATTTACAAATTTTCAAAAATTTTAATTCAAAATGTTATCTACAGTCAGAAACTTATTTCAACCAGTTCTAACAGAGATGGGCCCAAACTGATAATTCTGTCTTGGAAAAGGCATGTCCTTAATATACAAAGCCTCCTTTGGCAGTATATCTTCCTTCAGTTTCCTGACTTTTTTGCTTCCTGCTTGAGTTGTATTATGGCTCACTGAGGCAAGAACTTTTCCCCCTCCCCTCCCTTCCTTGGAGTCCCCTCACGCCACTGAGAAGAAGAAGAATAATCTTCCTTTAATAAGCCCATTTTAACTCCTTCGTCAGCTTGCGGTATCTTGAACTATTTTTTTATTTCCATATATTTTCTATTTTCCATGTAGCCCTACAGCAAAATACAATATATTAGGAGTTTTCCTTTGCAGAGCAACCAAAATCAAACCAGACTAAGCCATTTAGTAGCTATGATCCAGTTAGATAAGTTTCCAAAAGTGAACATCAGGTACAGTCTTCAAAGTATCATAGTATTATGCTGCTTCCTTTGATTTTAACCAAATTTGGCAGAAAACCTCTACCCTTAGAATGAGATGCAGCAGCCAAACCTTCACAAAGACTCTCTTTGAAGAAGTTAGAGGTAAGGTGGAAAATAGTCATATAATATGAATGCAATTTCATCTTTGGGCCTTGTTGAATATTACTTTTAGGCAGCTCCTGGAGCTCTAAACCCCTGGATTGTCCACACACTAACTCCTGAAACTAGTCTCAAGCACATTTTAGGCAGCTTAAAGTGATGCCACTCCAGGGCAGGTTTCTCTCCCACCTGTTACTTAGCTCATGTCCCATTCATGTGGTGGCCACTCTACACAGATGAGCTCCCCACATCGCAGACTTCAGTAGCTCAGGATGCAGTGTCTCCTCCCTCACCCTCCTGTTTTGTGTGGACAAACTTGCCACTCTATGAACTCTATGCCCCAGGGGGCAGTTCTGGCACCAAGCCAACTTCCTCTCCCACTCCTGTGCAGAACACCCTGCAGAGCACATACCAGCAAGCAAGGCTGCATGGTATGGATGGGTCTGGGAGCAGGGTCAAAGGGGGAGGGAGGGAGCTCACGACGA